CAACGATTATGCATTTAAAGAACATTTTATGCCTAGATTCACATTTGAGATATACAAAAATCCAAATATTGTATCAATTATCATATATTTATTAAAAAGTTAATGATATACTAATTTTTGCTTTGCTCATTTTGAATAGAATTTACATAATTGGACATGCAATGCACTCAAATCATAATAATCCTGTAGATTTAAGAAAAAAAGTAATGTTTACTATATGGATTCTGGCAAAGCAAGAAAGTTATCTATCTGCTAGAGATCGGTTTAATTTGACAAAAAGTACTGCTCATAGTATAGCGAAAGAAATTACAAATATATTAATTGACTTTTTACCAAATTATGTGAGATACAAGAATGTATGAGATAATTTCAATGGTAAATTGTTTGTACACATATATTAAATTATTTTAATATTTGTATATTAAATTATCTAAAATTATCACAGATATTTAAGAGACGTTCTCATGATATCCCAGGTGTAGTAGGGATTATTGATGGATGTTATATACTATGCAAAGCATCCTATAGACAATCCTAATGATTTCTACAATCGAAAAGGTTTTCATTCTATTATCCTACAAGGTATTATAAAAATATTTTTTATTAAGATTTAATTTTTGTAATTCAATTTTGCTTTTATAATATATAATAATATTTTACAATGTTACTATAATTTTGCTTTCTTTTTAAAACAGATGTCTGTGATCATAAAGGACGCTTTATAGACATATTTGTGATTACCGGGACGCGTGCACGATGCACGTATATTTAGAGAGTAAAATTTTTCAAAGATTAAAACATCACTTGTTACCACCTGATCGTCATATTGGCGATATAGCATATCCATTACTAGTGAACTTATTATTAACATCTTATCGGAATACAGGCCATTTTACTAGAACTCAAATATATAATACTAACCTGTTTACTATAAGATTAATGATAGAACGAGGATATTCTTTTTTAAAGGGTAAATTCCGCAGGCTAAAATATTTAGATATCGCTAATTTTGATTTTGGAAATAAAATGATCGCAGCAGCTTGTGTTTTACATAACTTTTTAATAGATCATAATGAAACTATGAAAGTGATGAAGAACTGTTAGAGAAGAGCAAGAAGAGGTAGCAATGGAAAGAGAAGTAACAGATAATAATGAAGCGATAATAAAAAGGAATAGAATAGTGGTACTCATTAATACGAAATAATTAACTGTACGAATTGTACTAAATATACACTCTTTTATTGTAAAACTTATCTTATATCTATCTTTATATCACATTGTATTATATTGCATCCAACGAAATTACTTTGCATATGAATTAATATATCTTAAGTTGCTTTTAAAATAATAGAACTTAACTTAAATCACATTTAAATACTAGAGATAATAAAAAAAATTTTCACATACAAATCAATTTTTTTAATCATGAAGTAGTAGAACTTAACATTTTAACATCGTTATGACAGATGAAAAACAATTTTTGTTTTCAGGTACGATCAATATTTTATAATATATCCTTAAGACAAAATTTAACATGTCAATAACAGAGATAAAAATATATTTTTTTAAGTATCTTATAACATCAAAATGTTTTGACATAGGTATAAAGCAACATATCAATAACAATCAATATGACAAACTTTTCTTATATTACTTAAGTTTCGTTTAAAAAGGAATATATCTTCTAATAAAGCCTTTTGTTCTTAAAGTGTATTATAATTTTCTTCTTGTAAAATATGCAGTAATCAGAAATAAATATTATATTATCAGGTACAAATCAGAGAATATTTTTTAGTACACTCTTAACACGGAACTAAAAGAATATTTTTACAAACTAAATTAATTTCAATAGAGATATAAAAAATATTTTTAGTACCTGCATAACAAATCAATTATGTTTTAATATATTTAAAAAGCAATATATCAATAGTAAAACTTAATATTTAATCAGTCATGATACCAGTATCAACTATTATTCTTCTTTTTCTTTCTTCTTTTGTTTCATTTCCAAGAGAATATCTTTTAATAAATCATTTCGTTCTTTAAGTATACTGTTACTTTCTTTTTGTAATTTATTACTATTATCCATCGCCTCTTTCAGTCTTTTTATTTCTTCTATTTTACTGTTTTGTGCATCAAGTTGTTTCTTTCGCATTAACGATAGCATCTTCATCCTACTTCTTTTGTTTTCTTTATCGGAACTTGGCGATCGTGACTCTGATGATGATAGTCCAATGACTGCAGATATTTTATTTTGCGTTGAATTTATTATCTGAATTTATTATCTGAAACATGAAAACCGCTTCTATTTATTTCATTGCTACTTGGAAAGTACATAGATCCGTATTCAGAACGCGCTTATAATGATGTTAGTGCTCTAACATGCTATAGTTTATGTTACGCATACTATAGAATTTCAGAGATAAAAGCGCGCTTTTATTAATAAAAACGGACCATAGTAATTATAATAAAGCTAGAGTTACCTGATCATTAGTTTCAAAAAACTTGATTTGTTCATTTGATATGACATTGAGTTTTCATCTATTAAAGTGGATGGCATTGAATTTGCGTCTGTTGACATGGATGACATTGAATTTGCGCGCGCGCGCG